ACTGTAGCACACATATTATCATCATGGGCTTCAGGGAAATGAGCCAAACCAACAGACTAGGACATGAGGGAGAGCAATTAGATGAGGGAGACAGACAAACCTTTTGTAGAAGTAATACTCCCAAATAAAACCTTGATTTTCTTTAAATGTTGATACAGACAGACCGAGGTAAGGCTGGTTCATGCAAACATTTTGTAACTTTTGGTCTCTTTTTATCGTTTGTTGCCCTATTTCAGTGAATGAGCTATGTCCACTTCATAAAACACCCCGTTCCAACTCTATCACAATGTGAAAATCTGCCATTTGTTTCTGTGTCAGATAGTTTAGTTTGCTGCATACGGATATTCTTCTCAACTGTGCCATGTACTAGAATTAAATGATCTGTTTCAGTGAGCTTTATGCAAATGAGACCAGTTGCTCCTAATATCTAACATGTCTGCATGTCCCTATTAAAAAAAAAGTTCTTTCTAATTTCTTGATCTAAAAAAAAAGTCCATGAAATGTGTGGTTTGATTTTCTCACAGAATGGTTTGGAAGCAAAAAATTTGAGAGATGTTCAAAGTGAGTTATTGTGACATTTGTTTTAAAGTAAGGATACTCTACTCTTAAGTGATTTTAATTCAAACCGTGTCAAGCTTAAGATTAACTCAAGGATGTACATGTTCAGTTTTCACATATTTCTCTTCAACAATGCACCTTACTTATATTGGTTTCTTTATTTTGTTCAGGCAGTACCACAGAAGTGACAGCCTCCATTGACCCCTCGGGCTGGGCATGGCTTGTTGGTGGCCGCAAGTTGTTTGTGTGGCGGTACAAGGGCTCCGAGACACAAAAAAGTTCAAGGGTAATCATGTTGACCTATTTTTGTCTTTTTTGTCAAAATACTTTAGCTTGTCATATTTTGCACTTGTATGACTGACTATCACAAGAGGACAGTCACATGACAGATGCTTTCTTAACTACCTACACGCAACTGAGTCTTTCATCTGATATGGGTTTGACTGATGCAACATCTGTCTGCAAGTGGTTGGTAGGTCCTACTTCTTTTCTTTCATTTGCTTATTCTGTCTCTCTACCTTTTGCTCTTTCCCTGCACAGAATGGTCATTATTGTGTCAGTATCACTTTTGCTTCTCTCTGCTCAAATTAAACTTAAAACTTATAAGGTCATCTTTTGAATCACATTTGTTGACTTATTGTTATAAAATGATCCACCGTCTGAGTATTGAGTTGCTCATTGCTGGTGAATAGTGGGTACTGCTGGAATGTTCCACTTTTCTTTCTCCCTATTATTTTTGTTTCCTGCTTTTCCCCCCTCATAGAATGCCCATTTTGTGTGGATGTCGGATGTACTTCTCTTTACTCTAACTAAACTCAGACTCATCCTTTGAATGATGTTATGTGATCTATTATTTTGAACTGATTTAGCATGTAAGTGATAAAAAATTGGTCGTTATAGAGGGCGACACTGGCAAGTCCTACTTCCTTTCTTTCCAACTGTTGTTTCGGTCTGTCTATATTATGTCTTACTTTTATGATGTGCTTTTCTTTATTCTAAAAACTCCAACAAACAAGTTTCTTGTTATAAGTGACTTGTTTTGGAACTGTAGTAAAATCCCCTTGCTCTTTCAGAATATTCAGTGTAAAGAGCTGATCCTGCCAGCCAGTGATTTGGCTCACAGTGCAGAGAGGGTCTGTGTCATTCCCAGTGAACACCCTGGCCAACCGGCAGCCTGTGTGGCTGTATCTCCTGAGGGGGTCGTGCGCTACTGGCCCAACATTGCCTTTGAGTCATCCACAGCAGAAATAAGTGCGGAGCTCAAAGGGGAAGAATGTGCAAGAGTCATCCATTTCCAGGTAAGCTTCTGCAGCTTGTCATTGTGGCTAACCTCATCACTCTGTGCCAGGTCAACAGGAAGCTCAAAGTTTTTGTTGAGTATAAGTTATGGAACACAATTTTTGCTTATAACACTACAGTATTCTTCACAGTGGTCTATCCAAGTTGTTTTTGCACTCCTAAATTTTGTAACTAATTTATTAGTCTCTACTGTACAACATTTGTGGAGAAGATATGTAGCCAATAGATATACTTTTTGTCTGAAATAACATTGAACAAAATAATAAGTTTTTATCTGGCAGATTTACGAAAAATGAGTTTGCTGCTCATTTGTAGAAACAGCAGCATGCTTGCATGCAGACCAGAGTCTATTGAAAGTACTCTTGCTGTCAAGACAATATGAGTAACAATATGAATTATAGGAATGATTTGTGTGGGAGCGACTGGCATTAAAAACTTGAGTTTTGCTGTGAACATCACACTTTGACACTACTGGTATTTTCCAAGTCGTTGTATCAGCTGTTGGAGTATGTGATTAAATGTGATGTTTTTCATATTCTGTGATTGTCTTCATCTGATTAGAGATACTCTGTCATAATTGTATGAGCTCATGTAAAAATGTTATTAATGCTGAGAAAAATGTTTGTTAGACCTGCATGTTTGCTGACAATCGTCTGAAATCCGACAATCGCGACGCGACCCGCGAGGCGGCCGATGCTATCGCTAGGCCCACCTGTATCAGTCAATGTGCGTAGTGCGAGGCCTGGCCGACTGCCAGCGTCCCCCTTTTCTCCCGTCGGCTTTGTCGGCACTTTCGTTTTCGTGCCGACCGCCGACGCGCGCACCGCCGACTGCCGACGTCGGCGTTTCCGACATAATTGTCGGAACCTGAGTAGAAATGCGAATACGAAAAAAGACGACGACCTAAATTATCTACTTTCAGTTTCGTGCTCGAGCGGCCATTTTGAATTTCGTTTTGTTGACAAATTTAATTGTTCAGATCGTGTGGATTCATTCCAGTCCGACTCACTTAGATAATAGAATCTAGATCTAGATAGATCTAGATGTAGATCTAGATTTATATAGATCATTATAGACCTCAATGGAGAATTCATATTCCAATTCTATTTTGTCAAACCCTATCAAAGGTTGTGCTGTAATATTAATGTTGGTAAAAGGCATTTCATCAGGTGCGTGAATTATTTATTTATTTAGAATCTAGACTCAGCTGAGCCCCTCTGTTCGGAATCGGATGCGGATTTCTAGTTCAAGGCCTATTCCTAGATCCTATTCACTTGTTCTTCTAGATCTAGATCTAGATTTATTTAGTTTACTAGATCTATATGGAGGATTCTTATTCCAATTCTAATGTGTTATTTGATATCAAACCCTATTATTGTAGATCTAGCAATATGTAGGTGTAGGCCATTATGCTCCTTGTAAGCCTTGTTTGTTTTGGGGTGTGGTTTTTTAATTTTAAAAATGTTTTTCATTTTGGACTTGTGCTGGCCTTTTCACATGAGGCTCGTTGCAGGTTCTTTTTTGGGGTAGGCCTAGGGGTAGGGGTAGGGTTAGGTCTCTTCTTTGTTGTGTTTGTTGGGGTGGTCGCTCGTTACTCGGAAGTCCTTCCGTATGACACCCACAAAAGCTCTTTTTTTTGGGGGGGGGGGTGCGCAAAATTTTCAGACAATCTGGTTGAGCCTCACATGCAGGTCTATGTTTGTCTTCCTTATGTTATTTTTCTTATACTTTCTTTGTTTCTAAACGTATTGACCATGTCTCTTCTATGGAGCATATCAGGGGAGTCGAAATCTGAGGGAGAGAAGCTCTAGGGCAATCTTCTTCCTCTATGTCTACTGCTAGGCAAAACTGTATCATGCATACTGCTTTGAAATTGTCTGTCAAGATGCAAAAGGCTATACATATTATGTTAAAAATGAAATATAATTTGTATTTCCTACTATGTTACAGCCACATGGATGTCTGCTTGCGACAACAACCAGCTCGTTATTGTTACTGCAGCCTACCACTGGACAGGTGTGTATTTTTGTCTGTTGTTTGAAGGGAATTTAATGGAACTGAGCTGCTTTTGCTTTTTGTATGATGCAGGTTAGAATTTTCTTGTGCTGAACCACAGATGTCTTCAATATAGTATTTGTTTATGAGAGCTGTTAACAGAATGGGCCACCTTAAAGTATCACTTCAATTTCTCTTTGTTCTGTGGTAACTCTTAACAACATGGTGTGACATCAGTCAGCATGTGTGTGTGTGTTGGTGCATGTATGCATGCATGTGTGTGTTTAAGAGTGTGAGTGTGTGTGTAGCATCAGACAGAGTGTATGTAACCAGAGTTATGTCTGTCCAGATGAGTTGACTATCCTTTGTCTTTTGTGTTTCACAGGCCAACATTTCATGCAAACCCTTGAAGTCATCTCAAGGAATTTTCTCTGGAATTAGCCGCAGAATGTCATCCTTTATATTTGGAGCATCTCAGATGCAAACTAATGGTGCAGTAAGTATCTTTGTATTTCTATGCTCCTGCAGTAAGTATCTTTGTATTTCTATGCTCCTGCAGTAAGTATCTTTGTATTTCTATGCTCCTGCAGTAAGTATCTTTGTATTTCTATGCTCCTGCAGTAAGTATCTTTGTATTTCTATGCTCCTGCAGTAAGTATCTTTGTATTTCTATGCTCCTGCAGTAAGTATCTTTGTATTTCTATTCTCCAGTGTATGAAAAGTAGAGCCATTTTTTTTTCTTTTTCTTTTTTTTTTTTTTTGATAGTAAAATATCCTTTTGTACAACTTTTCTGTGTTCTCCAAGTTGTAGAGATGGCGCTTTGTGTACATTTTTAATGCTTGTTTCGGATCGGAACATTTATGATTTTGGGTGGGTGGAGGGTGCCGCTGGTGAGTGCTTACTTCTTTTCAATCCCCTTGTCGATTTTTTTGTTCAGATTTTTCTTAATGGTTGTTATCATGTGAACATGCTTCTCCTTGCCCAAAATGTAATTATTTATGTTCTGTCTAAACATTTTATATTTGCTCCTCTTATTTGTCTGTCTTATCCTCTGGTGTTTTATACATTTTTATTGTTTTTCATTTATCTCTTATTCTGATCTGTCTAAACCCTACACAATCTTTTAGTTAATATTTCACCTTCTGATGTCTTTAGCTCTGAATAGTGTTTTAAATTTATTTCGCTTTCTGGTCTTTCTCAGCCCTTGCAGTCCATCATTGCCTCTCATGAAGATGAATATGATGATGAGGATGATGAAGAGAATGAGGACATGAGGTCTTTTTATGTCTTATCTGGAAATCATCTCAACAAATGGCAAGTGCCCAGCGTTGGACCAGAAAAGGTGGGTGTGAATATCTGCTAGGGGTGAGTTTTTTTTCTCTTGTTGCCAAGAATCATTGTGTACTTTGTCTGGGCTGTCATTGTTGTGTGTTTGCCACTGTATACTTTCCTGTCAGTGCTACCACATCCCCCCCCCCCCCCCCGGCAGTGCTACTGACTAAAGTGTCTTTAGGCCATTCCCAAAGAGGGGATATTAACATGTTCTTATGCACAGTAGAATTGTAAATGGGCTGATTTATCAATGTCATGCTCATACTGTGCTGGAACAAAATAGAGGGAACTGCTGCCTTTTCTATCCTCATCCTTAACATCGTCATTTTTCCTCTACTTCTTTTGTATGTTTGTCACTCTCTTATTAGGGCTTCCAGTCTTCCGCAATTTTGCGGATTTCCGCAAATGGAAAAATTTTCGTGAAAATTCTTGCCAAAAAAAATAAAATTATTTTCAAAAATGCGAAATAAAAATTTTCCGTTATTACCAATAGTCAACAATAGCCAACCCATACCGGAAGTGCTCTTTTATTTGAAAGTGTAGACAGTGTCTTCTACTTTCACTTTCTAAAGCACAAGAAGCACAGCACCAGCTCTGTAAACAAGAGGAAGAAATGACGATTGTGGTTCAATAGATCTTGGGCCTACCAAGAAAAGAAAACTCTAAAGAGAGCTTGATTTTTTTTTACCAGACTTATTTATTTGTAAGTATTGTTGTGGATTTAAGTTGAATATAAGCTGTCAAGTTATTTAGATCTAGAATCTAGACTAGAATCTAGAGATCAAGTCAAGCTGTTATATAAAAAGCTATTATTGTAAGAATTCTACACCTTATAAATGCTGATTATGGTGCAAACCAACACAAGCAGAAAAAAGTTAAACATTAACTGTCAAGTTTTATAGATCTAGTTGTGGATGTACAGTATCTATACAAGCGAGAAAGCATGGCTTTGGATTTGGAAATATATGGATTAACACAAGCAGAAAACGAAGTGGCTAGCCATACTTACTTAAGGCTAGACTGCCAGTCTAGCCGTACTTAGATCTAGGTTTGGCCCAATCGACTCAAGCCTGTTAAGTACACAGGTCTCATTAGATCTAGATCTAGTAATTATTCAGGTTCAAAATCAAATACATGCAAGTCAGTAAGGCACCTTTTGGTTTTGTCTGAAATACATATACTTTAGGCATTGCAAACTAAAAATTTTGTTTACAAATCAGCCATCAATATTAAGTACGGCTAGCCTGACAGTCTAGCCGTCCTTAAGTACGGCTAGCCTGGCTGTCTACCCGTACTTAAGTACGGCAGGAAGTTTAAAATACATGCACTGTCATTAAGGCACCTGGTTTCGTCTCAAATACAAATACTTTAGGTACTGCACACTAAAAATGTATATTTACAATTCAGTAGGCCTATTTTTTGTAAATGGTCAGTCTAGCCATCATAAGAATAAGTACGGCTAGACTGCCAGTCTAGCCGTCATTAAGTACGGCTAGACTGCCAGTCTAGCCATCATTAAGTACGGCTAGCCTCTTCCAGCAGAAAATTATGTTGTCCTATACAAGGTATGTTTTTTTTTCTCAATTATTTTCTAGTTAAATTTAGGCCTGAATAGCCAGAAATGGCATACTTAGGATGCTCTGAAACCAAAAATTCTCAAACAGAAAGGGGATGCTGTCCCCCTTCAACCCCCTGCCAGGGCTCTGCCCTGGACCCGAAAATCCTCGAAAAATGACATCAGCCGCCGCTGGAAGCTCTGTCTTATGAACTGCTATTTCCGGGGTGTCTTAATAGTCGAAGCAGACTTTGTGCTGTTGAGGCTAGAGAGGTGAGCAGAGTAAGCATGATTCCCCGTTCGGACTTCCGTGTTGACATCTACCCCTTGGCGCTCATATGACCTTATGCAGTTGCGAGCGCTGTAAAACCTAACTAAAACTAAAAAACTACCACATTGTTCCTGTTGTTGACTGGTCCACGTTTTCTTTTACAGCTCTTGTATCAGGTGGATGCTGACCGTCTCTTCAGGGAAGCTCTGGCAAAAAAAGTTTGGGTAAGGAAACTTTCATCTTCATATGCTTATTCCTTATAACTTGCACAGACGACCACTTCCCATAACCTCCCTCCCCGCCCCTCATGCGTAAAAAAAAAATTTATAATGACAATGCCGGAGGACTACCTATGTGAGATGACCACCTCAACATTGGGTGGTCTTGGACTGGTTTTGACTGAACATATTCTGAGTTATGTATAGGGAATGTCACATCTTATGGTGTAAAGGTTAAAAGAATTCTCAGACTCAGCAGCAGGAAAAAGAATCCTTGTATTTTTTTAGAATCTGTGTATATCAAAAGTACATCTTATGTTGAACTAAATCCTAAAGGAGCCGTCTCGAACCCATCAAAATGTCCATCCTATCCTGGTTTATGTGAATTTTAGCAGTTTTTATTTTCTACTTGACTTCACACAAGAAGTACTTAAGGTACCTCCAAGCTAAATATAGTCATTGACATAAAACATCAGGGAATGTTGTAATGAGGGGGGGAGTATTGAGTGACATGTCACTTCCTCACCTTGTGTGCCCCCCCACCTCACCCCATATGATTAAAAGCCTCATATAATTATTTTTCTGATATGCTCTTGACCTGGCAATACCTCAGACCAAGGGAAATTAAAGATTGGAACAGGGCATTTGTTGAATGTCACAGAGATGCCAACCAGTACGATTTTACGTATTTTGGGACGATTTTTTGCCGAAAATACGCGAATAGGACTTTTCATGAAAAAATACGCATCCTGTAGACCTGCATGTTTGCCGACAATCGTCTGAAATCCGACAATGGCGACCCGACCCGCGAACCGGCCGATGCTATCGCTAGACCCACCTGTATCAGTCAATGTGCGTAGTGCGAGGCCTGGCCGACTGCCAGCGACCCCTTTTTCTCCCGTCGGCTGCGTCGGCACTTTCGTTTTCGTGCCGACCGCCGACGCGCACACCGCCGACTGCCGACGGTGGCGTTTCCGACATAATTGTCGGAACCTAAGTAGAAATGCGAATACGAAAAAGGACGACAACTTAAATTATCTAGGCCTACTGTACTTTCAGTTTCGTGCTCGAGCGGCCATTTTGAATTTCGTTTGTTGACTAATTCAATTGTTCAGATCGTGTGGATTCATTCAAGTCCGACTCTCTTGTTCTATTCTAGATCTAGATCTAGATCTAGATTTGGGAGGACTTCCGTAACGAGCGACCACTATGACACAGAGCAGAATTGAGGGCTTGGGGTAGGGGTAGGGGTAAGGGTAGGGGTAGGTCTAGGCCTCTTCTTTAGTGTTTGATGGGGTGGTCGCTCGTTACGGAAGTCCTTCCCTAGATTTATATAGATCATTATAGACCTCAATGGAGGATTCATATTCCAATTCTATTGTGTCAAACCCTATCATAGGTTGTGCTGTAATATTAATATTGGTAAAAATAAGCATTTCATCAGGTGCGTGAATTATTTATTTATTTAGATCTAGAATCTAGACTCAGCTGAGTCCCTCTGTTTGGAATCGGATGCGGATTTCTAGTTCAAGGCCTATTATTCCTATTCACTTGTTCTACAAGATCTAGATCTAGATCTAGATCTAGATTTATTTAGATTGCTAGATCTAGATCTATATGGAGTATTCATATATGATATTCCAATTCTATTGTGTTATTGTATCAAACCCTATAGCAATGTAGATGTAAGCCATATAGATCTAGAATCTAGATTTATATGCTCCTTGTTTGTTTTGGAGTGTGGTTTTTTAATTATAATGTTTTTTTTTCATTTTGGACTTGTTTTGGCCTTTTTACATGAGGCCCGTTGCAGGTTCTTTTTGGGGGTAGGGTTAGGGTTGTCTCTTCTTTATCAAGTGTTTGTTGGGGTGGTCGCTCGTTACTCGGATGTCCTTCCTTATGACACCCACAAAGGCTTTTTTTTTGGGGGGGGGTGCGCAAAATTTTCAAACAATCTGGTTGAGGCCCACATGCAGGTCTAATCCTGGAAAGCGAAAAATACGAGATCCAATTTTGGCGAGTAAACCTAATTACTCAAGTCCCCTCTTTTGTCAAAATAGTATCAGTATCGCGGAACTGGAATATTTGAAGACCAAGTCCGATAAGGTCAGTAAGTTCATTTTGCCGGTCGCGATTGTGATATTATATTCTTTTAGCTTTTCCTCCTCCGAGAGTATGTTTCACTTTCACGACGCGAACAGGCGGCTATGGCGGCAGACGGAAGTGTATGTGACACCGTGGCTTGATCGGGAAAATCAAGATCTACTTTCACTTTCGTTACCACCGAGAAGTTTGCCAGCTGTAGACAAATAACGCAACTTATTTGTGACATGCAGGTTGTGCAGTGTAAACGCTGTGTTGTCGTGCAAACAAAATTTCTCGAACTCGTCTCTGTGCTGTCACTTGTAGGAAGAAAAGAAAATACAAGCGTCGTCCGATTTTTAGATTGTCGGGCTCGCCATCGTGACCGGTCAATGAACCTGCACGCATTCGCATCACAAATAAACGCGGCATCGTGTTAGCAAAGACCGTGTTTGGTGGGAGTAACGGCATGCCAAGTGTATGACTACGGGAGGGAATTATTGATTTTAAAAAAAATACTCTCGAGGGGGGGGGGGGGGGGGGAAGGGAGGAGGTGTGAAGGCAAGACCAGAGGACAAAAACTTGGAGGCAAATTTCAGAATTTTTATTAGAGCTCTTTGCAAAGCGCGCGTTGGTGCAGGCCGTGTGCGGAATCGGGACCATTCATACTTTGCAAATCTGTGTAATTGAAATAAAATGTTCGCGTGTCATTAGCATAGCTGCCACTTTCCTGCTAAATAGCGGAAACTCCGCTTCATTTAGCTTTCCCCGCTACTTTCCTCCTTCCTCCGCTGGACCGCTCTCGGCCACAAATTGCTATACTTTTTTTTACACGCAGAAAACACCGAACCGGGAGAGAGACGAAAACGCAGTTTGCGCATGTCCGCCTGTAGCTTTCTACTTCCGCCGTTCTTCTAGGCCTAGCGTTAGTTTCACTTTGTTTATTGTGGAGCAACAAAGTGTCGATTGGGCATCGGGACGTTAGCGCGCCGAGTTGTCAATGAAAACGGCGGAAATTCGAGAGAAATTGATGCTGAATGCAAAAATAAAAGGAGCTGAAATGAGAAAGAAGCTGCCGGTGCGACTTGAAAAGTTCATGAGAAAATTGAACAAACCGCTTGCTGCACTTTGCGTTTGGTGCGATAAAGAAATCGCGGCCTGCGGCACTCCTGTACAATTGCGGTCCCGTTTGTTTACATGACGGCTAGATTCTAGATCTATATTGTGGCTGTTGATGAAGTGAACACTGAATCTAGATCTAGATCTAGATCTAGATAATCTATTTCTAGATATAATCTAGATTTACACATATTTAGATATCTAGATTCTAGATCTAGATTAGATAGCCTAGGCTATAATTTTAATTCAGGTTAGATCTACACTCTACAGAGGGACTACTAAGTTAAGTGCAAACGGGACTGCAGTTGTACAGGAGTGCTCAGTACAGCGGCAGAGGTGTTGCCTCCTTGATCCAATACTGCGCGCACTCTACATCGATGTACAAGTTTTAAGTTGAAAGAAATCTTTTTATAAGACACCAGCTTGCAACAAACACTGGATTTTTAGTCACCAAGTCTAAACTGTGTCAAATTGACTCAAATGCTTGTTAGTCTACTTAACTTAGTGCCTTTGTTGGGTTTTTTTGTTTGTTTTTTGTTATGTTTTTTTTTTTTTTCAAATACATTTTAATTCAGTTGCCTATGGTTAACAAATATGACAGTTTTCCCTTCCAAAACCATAGGCTAGATTTTCCAGTATATATTGCCTCTGGATCTCACTGGTTTTACTCCAGCCTTCGGAGAGCGCGCATCCGCCTTCGCATGAATTTCCTCCTTTTTTGAAATTCCTGAGTGGCAGCTATGCATTAGATGGGTGATAGTAAATTATACCTACTGTGTATGTTGTAGCTTTCTGTTCAAGAAGGGCAGATTTTCAGGGTCACTGCATCTTGCCCTCCCACAGTTGTTACAACTCTCACAGTGCACGGGTCTACTTGAGCCCTTCAAGTTATTGCTTTTCTCTGAGTTAGAGCAATAATTTTAGTCTGTCAGTTCATAATATGAATCATGACACCCAGACTGGTTCTTGATAGTCGAAATTCTTGTTCTAGGCCCTTCCGAACGCTCAAAACAGGATTGATTTTTTATATAATAATGAGAGGAAAATATTATAACAGACTGAAATACTTAAGTCAAACAAGACCCCAGTACGACACTGAACACTGACATGTTGTTGACTGGATACGTGTTTATTGTATGCGTGTGTGCTCCCTTTCTCGAGCTGGTGAGCTAGTAAATTTTTTTCAGGAAATATTGCTGGACACCCTGAACATATTTTACTGGTTAGTCGGTCGGTCGAAGAGAATACACATTTCCCCCTGAAAATACACATTTTCATATTTCCCAATACTCATTTCGGTTTTCTGTGGTTGGCATCTCTGAATGTCAGGTTCACTGTACCTGTTAAAGTGGGTACTTATTTCATAGTTAATTTATCTTGATACATATGTAATACCTACTACCAATTGTCTGAATGAATAAGCAACAATGTCAGTTAAAACATTCGAAGTCAATGAAATGGTGGTTGCTTCTTTTGGAAGCCTGGTTTTTTAACAGAGGTCTATTGCCCTGTAGTGTATTTGTCTGTTATTCCCATCCACAGGATCAAGACTCGGTGCAGCTACCACAACTAAACACCTGGCTCTTAGACCTGCAGCTCACCAGGTTTGTTTCTTTTCTGTTCTGTAATTGTGTTTTACATCCCCATGATCACAGTTTAGACAATTTAGGAGGCAGGTGGCTTCGACCCTGCCTGTCAAGGCAAACATGAGCTGAGTGAGATACAACATCCCTGCAAACAGAGAAACTTGATAAAAGATTCGCCCACTCAGGAATTGGACTCAGATCGTCAGTGTGCAGTGCCAAAGAACCTAACTACACTGGCATCTGTGGTGAAGTGGTTAGGCGCTTCATTGTCACCCTCAGAGGACTTGAGTTTGATTCTTGAGCAGGGAGAATTTTTACCAAGTATCTCAGTCTTTCTGCTGGTATGTTGTATCCCTCTCACTCCAGGTTGGCCCTGACAGGCAGGGTTGGAAGCCCACCTCCTAAATGATTTAAACTGTGTTGATGGCAAAAAAACACCTAATTTAAAAGAAGAAATACAGAACTTAATGGCTGCACCACTCACGGGCACTAGTTTGTTTCTTCTCTCCCTCAAGTAACTAATGATTTATGTGCATGTGCGCGTTGTTTTGTTGTTCTCTCTCTTGTAAGGATGTCATGTGAAAAACATGTTCCCCTCGTATATGAATAAAGGTGAAGGTAGGTGGAGGACACTTCTGAAGGGGGTAATTGGTGGGCGCCACCAGTAGATCCCACTGTTGTTCTTTCTCCTTTGTTGTTTCTGTCGATCAGTCTTGCTTTTTCCTTCCATTAAATGACTGTTATTATGTTGATGTGTATCTGTTTACTGAAACAAAAAAACCCACTAGCTGTGGGTCCTACTTCTTTTCTTTCCCTTAGTTGTTTTAGTCTGTCTTCTTACTGCTCCTTTTAACTTAATGACCATTTTTGTGCTGATGTATTTTTTAGTATACTTAGACAAATGAGTTACTTTTTAAATTTTTTATGGATGCAGCAATTGAGTGTTTTCATAACTGTTAGTAGAACTGTACATTCACATAATTGTTCTTACTGCTTTGTATAACAATTCATACTCTTTCACGTTGTTGTTCATACTAGTTTACATGGTGATTCATACTCAGTTTCATGATTATTTTAACTTGCCCATATTTCTTCGCACTCATTCACATAATTGATAGCATTCATTTACCTGAATGCTCATATCTATTCTTTTCTTTGTCTATTCACCCCCCGGGGCAGTGCCACTGACTGAAATGTCTTTAGGCCATTCCCAAAGGGGGGACATTTCTCGTTCAAGCATAGTAGAATTGTAAATGGGCTGACTCTTGTCACGCTCATAACTGTGCCTGATCTACAACAGGGAACTGTTGCTCTTTCTTTCTTGATCGTTACTATTGTCATTTTCCTCTACTTCTTTTGTATGTTTGTCATTCTCTTGTGACCTGCTATTTTGAGGCGCCTTGATAGTCGAAGCAGACCTTGTGCTGTTGAAGCTAGAGAAGTGAGCAGTCTAAGTCTGATTCCCTGTAAAGACTTCTCTGTTGACACCCACCCCTTGGCGCTCATATGACCTTATGCAGTTGCGAGTGCCGTATAACCCTCTACTCTACTATAAAAAAATTTTAAAACAATTTATCTATTCACATCTTTCGTTTACATGCCCTGTTCTCTCTCGATCTAAATTTGTCCCTTATATTGTTGTGTGTGTATCTTTCTGTCAGAGAGGGTGTGGTCATGCTGGGGGCTGGAGTGAATTTGGAAGCCTCTAACTCTGTATATTATGCTCTAGGTAAGTACCTCAAAACAATTGTTGTCTCTGTCCACTTTATTGCGACTTTTTAGCATAGTCACAATGCTTTGTTTTAAATAAACAAAACAATCTCTATCCTATTTTCCACTAACACGGTGTGCTTTTGGTGGGTGGTTGGTGGGTGCTCTGGTATAGTCTGCTCCTTTTTTCTTATCAAACATCTATCAGTGTATGGTTGGTGGGTGCTCTGGTGTGGTTTGCTTCTTCTTTCCTATCAAATATCTATCGTCCTTATCTCTCCTCCTTTTTTTTGTTTTTGTTACTCTTTTGTAATGCCTCTAATCTTTGGCACTTATATGACCTTATTGTGTTGCAAGTGCCGTAAAACACTTACTTAAACTAAAAGCAAAAACATCTATCGTCTGTATCTTTCTTCTTTCTTTTCTTTGTGTGTTAATCTCTGGTTGGTAACACCTCTAAATTTTCAACACTTATATGACCTTTTTGTGTTGCAAGTGCAAAAAAACTCTAATGTACTTTTGGACCTCTATACTGCTTACTGTATGCTCCGTCTATTATGTCTTATCAAAATTGCTTTTCCTGAACACTAAATAAATAATCATTATTTTGTTAGTGTACTTCTCTTTGCTCAAACTTGGAATGAAATTCTTAATCAAAATCATGATGTGTGTGTACATATTTCATTTCAGCCTATTTGGAGAGTTTCGAAGATGCTCAGCCTGCCAGTGTGAGTGATCTGACACTGTTGGATTACACACAGCCCTATACAGTAAGTGTTCTCTGACGATTGGGCTGTTCTTCATGTGCTAACCATACACAGCATTACACACGTAATGTTGACCTTCTTAGCTTTACACACTAAGAATTGATACCTGATTGTCCATCGCTTCGATAATGACTGTCCTCATGTTTTAGGTCCCCTTTTTTATGTGGACAAGGAGATGTCTGTTTAAGCCAATCCCCGATAGACAAAAATGGGTGCAGTGAGCGCAAGGACACTGTTTGGGATGGTCAGGGTCAGCACTTGATGCCTTTCTCCGACCACATACTTCAGCTACCTCTGCTCACCCCTTTTCTTCAAAATTGTTTCGCACCTCGGTACTGAGGGTACGCCAGCCTGGCCTGTCCATAGTGCTCAGATATAACAGTTTTGGGAGGGCTTCCAGAGTGTCTGATGTTGGACTTCTTGTAGTCTGAATCACACACAGCATTAGATTTCATCCTAAGTGGTGACCATGCACAGCCCCCTTCAATAAGTATTTACCACTCACATCGTTACACAGTAAGTCTGGACTGTTCACAGCATTACATAGTATATGTGGAGTACACTTTGTCATTGTGGTGTTAAATATTGGGTGCGTTGTGTGAATTAGTTGACTCTGTGACTGTGGCTGCTTTTGAATGGAGAATGATACAACAGCTCTCAGCTATGAGATTGTGCTTTCTTTTTTTTATGCTGTTAGTAGAATACTATTATTCAGTTGTGGTAATATGAGAAAATGAGATTTAGTTCATTACTTACATCTCATGAGTGTATTGTCTTGGATTTGACCACGAAACATCTTTTGTCTTATCTCTTCAGGAGGAGAGTGAGGAGCATCTCACCTGCTACAAGCTACTCTCTCCCTCAGACAAGTCCAGCCAGGTGTACATTTACAGCCCATCCTCCATACTCATGCTACATGGTAGGTGAACTATGTCAGTGATGTACTCATGCTAGGGGCACTCTGACATATACATTCTACTTATAATATTGTGATAATGATAATGTAGATACCGCTTACTCTTGTGTACACACAACTCTAGGTGCTTTACATAGATCCAAGTACATAATGTGAAAAATTAATCTTTGCTCATATGCACACACAGAAGAAATGACATACTCACACATACACACTTGTTCATGCGCGTGCGCGCTCTCACACATACACTTTCTTGGTACATTCTGACAGTGACATATTCTTGGAATGTGGAGTATTAATAGTCACATACTCATGCTGCTACTACTGTCGAACCTTTACAAATGACCACTTCCCATTTCCGACCTTGTGTTTACTCTTTATTATAATGACAGTGTCCAAGATGTTTACCTATCTCAGACAACCACTTTTTTCCTCGACAATGAATGGCTGTGTCTTGGACAATTTTGACTGTATATGAATAAGTTTTGTTTCTGTTCTTTTGATTATTGTAGATGTAGTACGAGTATAAACACAGTCTTACCAGATCTGATTAATCATGTTTTTCTTGTTTCTCAGATAAGAACTCTCTGGATAAAATGGATTTGAAAACATCAGGAGACAAAATTTTGGGTGCAGGTGAGTTTGACAAAATGTCTGTTGTTTTTTTTACTGTTGAGACTTTGAGAGCATTAATGTCTGCTTAAAATATTGTTCAATCTCCTTCTTAGTTGTCATATCCTTTCAGAAACTCACTTCACCATTACTCATGTCAGTACATGACAATATTCTCCTCTCTGCACGACAATTTACAATTACTCATTTCAGGACATGGCAGTTCACCATTACCTATATTAAAACAACATAGTTTTTTTACGTCTTGCCTATAACAGAAAGTTAACCATTACCCTTGTCAATACATGCTATTTCTCTCCATTCACTATTATACATCACAGTACAAAACATGCAATGACATCAGTCTGTGAGCTTGGGATTGTTAGTGCTGTGGCCTATGATGTTTATTTTCTGTTGCACTTTCTGATTTTTTTTTTTTCGTCAATGTTTTGACACAGGCTCTTGCGATGGGACCGCAGTGTTTTTGTCCAACACCCATGGTATATTTAGTGTTGCTCCGCGGCTGACTGAAGCAAGGTGAGATGCTGTCTTTTCTCAAATCCCAAAGCCTTGCTCAATTGTTGTTGTTGGTTTGTTTTTTTCCGGTTCTGGAACATCCCTGAAATATTTCATGAATTCTCTTGCATGGCAAGGGGTTTCATGATCTCTTTCTCAAAACGAGTCTCTTCAGTGCTATAAAAAAAATGGTGTATCTTAAGTAATGTAACAAAACATTAAGTCTCCATGTGCTCCAAGCTGACAAAACGCCTTTTTATTTTTTTGCACCAAATTTTTATACTTACTAAATCCATGGCCTGTCTGAAAAAATTAAAGTGAAACTGACTATTTTTTTAAAATATCAGAAGAACGCCTTTTTAAAATGGCTACGCTGACAAAACTCCTTTTTAACTTGAAACTGTTGTGAATAAAATCAAGGCGTTTTATCAGCGTACGGCAGCTCTGTTGCGGTCACAAAGCAGTGAATCACGTTTTTAATGTCACATTCATGTCATGGTACAAATATGTCCAGACCAAGACAATTTTTCATGTTAAGTGGGAACTTTTTGCTTGTCCTGTCCTTGAGTGTGTTTTTAGGTTTCCTTCAGAGTATATACTTTTTAAAATTGTAAAAATGATTTCTTTTTTTGTTCTGCTTTGGCCTCACCCTCCATGCATTTACATTGCACTTTTTCTTTCCCTCTCTTTTTGTGTCATCCATCAAGAGAATTATTTTCTGTTTTCCACTGTATCTTCCCTCCTTTTAGTGTGATGGATATATCCAACAACCAGGCCTCCATGACCCGAGCGGAACTGGTAAGAATGATACTTTCATTGTTGAGAAATGCTTTTTGGACAAAACTATCGAAACGAGTTTGTTATTTAAACTATACGGGTAAATCATATGCAAACTGTCCTGTCTCAATCCTTGAAGGACACTTACTTATGTGTGTGTGCGTGAGAAAGAAATTGACTAGCCATTTTCTGTGTACGGAGCCATTTTCTGTGTATGGGTATGCAGGGTTCCCACTCAACTGGGAATGTGGGAAAGTGAAAGGAATTTTATTTTTAGATTTCGCGGATGGGAAAACACAATGAAAATGAATGAAAACGATGGCCTCAAGCTATGAGAGAATTAAGAAAAAAACCAAACCAAAAAAGCAAAGAAGACTGGATTAAAGGATTCTGTCTGTAATAAACCAGAATGTTTCTCTTGCTATCGTTGTCTAAATGAATTTGTGTGTGAATTTCAGTGTCCATGTCATATGTGTGTGTGTGTATGTATGTTTGTTTTCAACTAATTGCTGTACCTGTGATCTGCGGCACAGTCCAGTGTGATGGGCAGCCTCACCAAGATGGCAAAAGCATCTGCTGCTGATGATGTGGCCACAAAGCTGAAAGACGTCTTTATTGCTTCTATTGATGGGGATCAGGTAGGTCTTCTGTGACTGCTACTGCTCAAAAGTTCCTGCTCAGAGACTCATTGTACATATTTTGGTCTCTGGTGGTATTCACTGCCTTTCTGTGATGTTTTTGATAGCTTTTTGTGATGTTTCAAAAAAAAAAAAAATAAATAAATAAATAAAAATATTGATATATGTATGTTATAGTGTATGCTGTTTCACGGAAGTCTCATTTATTAAATATGTATTCTCGGTGTGATGCAGTCGAATGACTTTAAGCGCTCTACCTTGATGTTTAATTTCATTAGGATCCTGTATGTTTCTTCTCTCGGGTTGTCCCCCCCCCCCCCCCCTATGTACAAGGGTTTTTTTCTCGTTTGTTTGTCTTCAATGTTTTGGGGCACTTTTTCTCTTCTGTCTGTATGTGTAAAAAGCTTTGTTCTAATACTAGAAGACTAAACATTGTTTGTCATGGCAGCTGTAGATTGCAGCTGATTGGATGGTGCTGCTGATGGCTTCCTCTTTTCTTTCCCTCTTACATTTGTGTCTGTCTTACCGTTTCCTTGCATGATATGACTATTGTTAGTTGATGAACTTATGGGTGGTTGGCAGGTGCTCTGGCATCGTTTGCTCCTTTTTTCCTATGAAACATCTATCATCCTTATCTCTCCTTCTTTTTATTGTATGTTACTCTCTAAAGTTCGCCTTTTATATGACTTATTTGTGTTGCAAATGCGGTAAAACTTACTTTAAGAAAAATGAAGAAAAATGAACTTCTCTTTATTCTAACAAACAAAAAGTTGTAGCTCTTACAGAAATGAAGAATGCTTTGTATAAAAACTAGACATTGCCTGTCCTGTCCAGTGTTGTTCTTGTGGACGTGAGGAAGGAATACTGCCAAAGTTGTTTTAGACAGCCACTCATTGAGGAGAAAAGTGGTTGTCTTTGACAGGTGGACATCTTGGGAAATGTCATTATAATATAAAAAGAAAGTCAAATGTGAAGTGGTTGCCTGTATAAATGATCGTGTTGGACAGATGGCCATTAGAGTAGTTTGGTTTTACTGTACTTTGCCTTGTGTTTCTCATCTGCTGTTAGGAGCAAGTTGCAAGTTTGGTGGAGGAGCTGTGCCTGGTGACGCGGCCGCAGCCTGGAGTTGAAGGGTCAGAGCTTGACCACACAGTGGCCACTGTGAGCCGAGACTTGATCGATGACTACCCTAGCGCTGACCCCAGATGGGCAGAGGCCAATAGAGAAGGTGATAGCCCCAAACTATTGTCTTCCAGACTTTTTATACTCACCTTTTCACATGTTTCCATGTATGTCTACCCACTTTGTTACATATTTACTAATGTAAATGTACTCACTTTTTCACATGAATTTATAAGAGTTTGTGATATTTCTTTCACGGATAACACCTGTAAAAGAATTGTGCATGTTTAAGGGACAAGCAAGAACTTAATTTTTTACTTCCAAGTTCATAAGAATTAAAATCAATGGTATTGTTGGTGAAAGTCTGCCTGGGGTCTTTTTCTTGTTGGGATGAGGGACTGATTTTTGTGAATCTGAGGCTACCGTGGGGTGTTATTTGTCTTGCATTTTTCAACCCTTGTTGACCGCTGTTTTATCAGTAGCTTCTCTTTACTCAAAAAAAAAAGTTCAATTATCTTCTTCTTGCCTAGGGTCTGGTGGTGGTGCCTCTGTCATCATCCTGCAGCAGCTGAGGGACAAACAGAAAGCTCATGACTTGTTTGTCCAGTTTCTTAAGACCTACGGCATCTGGAATCAGGTAGGGCTTGGTTGTGGGTGGTTGACAGGTTCCCTGATGTGGTTTGCTCCTTATCTCTCTTCCTTTTCTTTGTATGTTACTCCTTAGTAACACCTCTTATCTGTGGCACTTTTATGATATGACCTATTTGTTTTGCAAGTGCCATAAAATTCTTACTAAAATTAAGGGCTTGTTTGTCTTTTTTGACATGTTCTCAGGAGTAGAGAGGGTGGATGGTAGGAGGATGCCTCTGCAGGTCCTAATTCTGTTCTTTTCTCTGTCTTTTCTGTCTATCTGTTATTCTCTTTACTTGCACTAAAGGACTTTTATTATGCCAATTTACTTTTCTTTACTCAAACCTAAAGGTGTGGTTTGCTCCTTCTTTCCTATCAAGCATCTATTGTCCTTATCTCTCCTTTTTTTGGTGTATGTTACTCTCTTGTAACACATCTATTCTTCGGCACTTATATGACCTTATTGTGTTGCTAGTGGCGTAAAACTCTTACTAAAACTTAAAAAAACCTAAAGGTGGATTACTAAGGTGAGTGGTTGAAGGGAGCCACTAGAAAGTCCTATTTCTTTTATTTCCTTCTGTTGTTTTTATCTGTCAAGCTTTTTTAAAATGCTGTAAACAGTTGTTATTGTGTCAATGAGCTTATCTTTACTAAAACATTTATTTGTAAACTTTCTCAAGTGGGTGGTAAGCGGGTGCCCTGGTGTGATTAGCTCCTTTTTTTCTATAAAGTATCAATCGTCTTTATTTGTCCTCCCTTTTTTTTGGTACAGTATTCTCTAGTAACACTTCTAATCTTCGGCTCTAATGTGACCTATTTGTGTTACGAGTGCCTTTCAACTCTGACTAAGACTAAAACTCCCATGTTTCCCTGTCTGACTACATTGCATGCAGCTAAATTTTGAACTCTTATTAAAAACAAAAACAAATATAAAATTCCCTGCTGTAAATGGCTGTTATTATGTCACTGTGCTTCTTTTTAAATCAAACTCCAATCTTTTTTTTTTCCCCCGAATTTTGTCAGCTGGGTATCGTGAACATCCGAGAGTCTGTGATGCCGACACGTCTGCTGTTGTGTGAGCATGTGGAGAAACTGGAGGCTACCATTGCTGTGCGAGAACTTCATACACAGTAAGATACTACTGCCTTTCGTTTAGCTAGTGGCTGACCTGCAAAGTATTCTGATAAAATTAAAGGTCTCCAGTTTCTTTTTCCGTGTTTAAAAATGCAGATAGGTTTTGCGTGAAATCCAATATTTTTCTAGAATTTCTTTTTCATCAGGTCAAATTTTACTTATTGTAAATGGCGCAGAAATACAAATTTTGGCATGTTTTTGTGTTTATTTGTTTGCCTTTGCAATACGTTTATATGCCACTCTTGGTTTGTTTTGTAATTTTAATCTACTGTGTTTCTGGAAACTGTTTTTTTCCCCCCAAGTTAATTCAGCCATTTTCTGTTGTTAGCAAAACGTACTTCTGCTACATCCTTATACTGATAGTTTCATGTTCTCTTGGCTAGAAAAAGAAACTTTTGCAATGCTCTTATGTAGCCAGTTTTATTTTCTGTTGGAGAGGAAAATGTACTACGGCTTTGTTCTCACATTCATGCAAGAACTCTCCTCTATTTATCAGGAATCAGAAGTTGGTGGACACCTGTATTCGTCGAGCTCTAAAGGCTCGGAATGTGAAGGTGCCTGCTGCTCTGACAGCCCCAGATGTGTTTTATAGAGAGGTGAGGGACCGGTTGCAGTCTGTAGATGTCCTCATCTCATATCATTACCTCATGTTCTGTACATTTATTAATCTCATGTCCTTCTGTTTATGATCTCTTTTAATGCCTTACTCTTAGATATACTCATCACATGTTACCCTAACTGTCCTCATCTCATGTCCTCCTTTTTTCACTTTCTTCTGTGTGTGTCCTCATCTCATGTCCTCCGTGGGTGGTTGGCGGGTGCTCTGGTGTGGTTTGCTCCTTTTTTCCTATCAAACATCTATCGTCCTTATCTCCCCTTCTTCTTTTTCATGTTTGTTACTCTCTTGTAACACCTGTAATCTTCTGGCGCTCATATGACCTTATGCAGTTGCGAGTGCCGTAAAACCTCTACTAAAACTAAACTTATCATGTCCTGTATGTGTCCTCATCTCCTGTCCTCCTGTAGGTGTCCTTACAGGGCTGCCTAAATCTACCGATTTTTCCGGTAGATACCGATTTTGGGCCTGTTCTACCGACATACCGATAAGGTGTCAAAACTACCGGATTTTCGATGGATGCTGAGAGAATAAACAAAAAAAAACAACATTCTGCATTGCTTCCATTCTTCTTTGTTTTTACGGAAATCCGTACATTCCGAAAGTTCCGTACTTGCCGCATCATCATATCATTATCAACTCCATGCGCTGAGAGAGAGAGAGAGAGAGAGAGAGAGAGAGAGAGAGAGAGAGAGAGCAGCACTTGCCTCCGTAACTTGAGAAACTGCCAGATTGCGCATTTCGTACACTCGACCATTGTCTATCTGTGCCGTTCGGTCGGCAATAGTTTTTCACGTGCATATCAGCTGAAATCTGTCTACTCACGATAGATAAACTTCCTCCTTCTTTTCATTCATTCTTTCTTTCTGTCTATCTTCAGTTTTTGCTGCAGCTGGAAAATCTGTGCATTTAATTCATTTATCCAGGAAACAGAATTGTGAATATAGAAGGAAAAGCGGTATCGAAGCAAAACATTCTAAAATCTGTCTTGGTCTAGAGAATTGGTTAGTACCAAATAAGGATTCTACGCCGGGGGACTGCGGGAATTTATTACCCGGGAATCTGAAAAAAAAATCGCAAAATGCACAAAGTCCTCGAAACCACATCTGAAAAGCCTTCTGAGTTCCATATTTTAGTGGTCGCGTTTGTGATATTACGTTCAGCTTTCCCCAGTCCGAGAGTACGTTTCGCGCGAATGAGCGGCTGTGGCGGCAGGCGGAAGTGTAGGTGTAATACTGAGACTCCATTGGGAAAATCAAAATCTACTTTCACTTTCGCTACCGCTCAGATAATTGTCCGATGATAGTTCGTTGACGTTAGATTTACAGTTAATAAAAATTTGTAACCTGCAGTTTGTGCGTAAAAAACACAGTGTAGCCATAAACATTAAATCGATATTCTCACTGATGTCGCTATAATGACAAAAAAAGGGAGAAAAAGAAAACATGCGTCCTCCAATTTCTAGATTGTCAGGGCCGTCATCGTGACCGGTCAATGAACCTGTGAGAGTTCGTGAGTACGGCATGAGCAAGGGACCGGCCGGTGGTTGTTGGGGAAAGCCTTTATCAAAGTTCATTCAAAGTAGGTGTGTTGCAGGGCGTCGGAATTGAGGGGAGGTGTTTGATGCTATAAAGTCTTCGGCAGCAGTAAAAGGCTGCGGTGCAAGAAACTGATGCTAAATGAAAACGATAAATGGAAGTGGTTTTGACCTTCGACAATCGAGTGCGTAAATGTGGGAACATTTGAGCACAGGCTTGATGATTGTATCTTCATTAAGGTTGGTGTTTCCGGATTTGTCGGATTTTTCAGTGATGACAAATTGAATAGGTGCAATGAGGAAATGCCATTTACAACCCTTGGAAAGCTGTATGTTGGATGCCTATGCATCATGATGGCTTGTTGCTGATTAAATACTGGTACTGTGATTTAGCAGTTTGAAAAAAATCAATACTTAGTCCATGATGCAGTGGTTCACTGATTGCCAGGTTTTCAGCATCGCTACATCCCACACTCTCACAGTCCTTCCAGCTCCGGCTCTATCGGTACACGCTCTCTTTTATTTTCACTTTTTGCTCTGCCGTGAGCCTAACTATAAAGGTTTTATAAATAAGTTTTGTCTTGCATTTGCATACTTTTTAAAATCTGTGATTGCTGAAACCAAACATGGTTTTGGCAGTTGATGTTCTTCTTGCCGCTCCTCAGGCCCAGGTCAGGATTCATTTTGCATTTTTAGGCATACCTAAGTCACGAAGGACTTATCAGTGTCCTATGCTAGTGTCGGGAAAATTATGTTTTAATTTAGTTCTATTGGTATTTCTAGGGGTTTTGAAGTCAGTTTGGCAATCACCCTGCACTCAATTCCAGATTCAATACTGAATGATAGGTGCCTTGAACGATAGTCCATAAAATCATTTTTTTAAAAACAACCTCGCCTCCTTTCATACACACTGTTCATCGTAACTTGTGCACACCCATACACCCCCTTCCTTCCCCACGCACACATGCGAGAGCATCACACACACACACACACACACACAAACATGCACAAATAAGTTTTCAAAATATAATTACCCAATATCACGGAAAGCAAGGGCGTTCGATGGGGCAACGATCATCTTTTTTTCCCCTTCTTTGTCTTTGTACTACCTGATTTTGGGCCAATCTACCTGAAAATGACCCTGAATCTACCTGAAATGGGAACTTTGAGGTAGGCAGCCCTGTCCTTATCACATGACCTGTAGATTTCAAGTCATGTCTTCATTTCAAGTCCAATATGTGTCCTCATTTCATGTCCCATAGAAGCCCTCATTTTTCGACCTCCTCCCATCTCATGTTTTTATCTCTTGTTCTCCTGTAGATTCCCCCAGTTCTGCCGTAAATGTCCTCATCTCTTTGTCCTGTGTGTCCTAGTTTTTGTCCTGTTCTCATGTCCTCCTGTAGGTGTCTTCGGTTCCAGAGATTACCCAGCTGCTACTAGACTATGAGCAGGAGGAGTTGAGCAGTGACAGAGGCAGCAGCGCTGTTCTTCACTTGGTCATGGCTGTCAACTCAATACTTGAGGTGAGTCCAGAGCCTGTGTACTTTAATTGGGGTTGAGCACCATGTAAATGTCATTTATAATTATTATATGTACACTTGGCTTTGGCCTGAAATAGCAGACTCATGCCCTTGTCTTGGAACGTGTGGGCCTGCCCTGGTCTTAAACTGCAGACTTGTGTGAATGCACTAGTTCCAAAGTACTGGCACTTACCTGTGTCATAAGTGTACACATTCAGCCATCACTGCCAACAGTCTCTTTAACACGTTTCACCACAGAGAGCTACATGGCATGGTCATCTGTGAACAGTTTCATTTTGTGATAATACACGGCGACTTTTGCTGTTGACAACCTAAGTTCATGATACTGCCATGAAACATTTCATTATTGATAACCTTATTTCATGATACTTTGTTGCTTCCTCTTCTACTGACGGTCTCATGCTGAGATGTATCTACGTTTTAGGCAATGTTACACCGTGCCCTCCAGTATCGACAGTCTCATGCAGAGATGTACGCTGATGACCGTGAGGAGATTCCTGAGTACATTCCCTGGACAGCCACTGCTAGCATGAGAGATGCCATCAGGAAACAGGTGGGTTTATTTATTTATTTATTTTTTTATTGAATGGTTCTTTAATTAATTAATTAAAATTAATCTATTTATTTATTTACATTTCTATTTACCCATTCATTTATTTATTTGTTTATTTATTTATTAGATTGTGAATTTTCCATGACTGAGAAATTTAGGGAGTTTGTACTTCACCTGTGCATGTCAGGACCAGCCTGGGCTGAGTTGGATATAGCATTCCAGCAGGCAGATTGGAGATACTCGATTTAAAAAAAACCTTTCCGTGTACAGATATTGAACTCATGTTTTCTGCGTGGGACAGTGAAGAGTCTTTAGCCTTGCAATTTAGACTCCGATGTTAAAGTTTGATCTCTTCTGCTTCCTCATTCTGTTATCAAGATACTGTTTGAAATTGTTTGATCTTCTAGCTAAAGCTTACTAGCATGGTTGTTGTGTTTCCAGCTAGGTTACTTTCAATATTGGGACATCGGTATACTATTGGCTTATTTACTGTTTAGCTTTCAAGTAACGAAATGGCAACATATTTGTTTCTTCGCCTACAATATCAAGGAACCCATGGTTAACCTTTTTGATGTGTTTGCTTTAAAATGTAGCTTAATTAATGTGTAGTATTTTTAAATTCAGAGTATATATTGGTGACACGACTCTCTTTATAGGCTCCTATGTAAGTTTTAAACCATTCAAGAACTTGACTCTACTTCCCCAGATTTGAACATATTATTATTTGCTGCTGATACTCAAGGTGTAATGGCTCCCTTTTCTCTCTATGAATACTGTGCCTATTATTCAGTGTATTTAGAATACAATCTGATTGTTTTGTTCATGCAGTCTCATCTGCTTATATCTAATCCCTCAGATTGCTTTGAGTTTTTCTGATGGAGTGCGGGAGGCCCGAGAGCTGGAGGTGCAGGGTGTGCTGTACCAGAACATTGTTGGTCTCTCCGACTTCCTCATGGACGGCTACGCCAGTCAGCTCAGCTCTCTCCGCACCCAGACCGATGCCCAGGACCGCTGCGACCAGCTTGAGCAGACCTTCCAGAAGGAGAGACACCAGCTCATCTTGCCTCTGTGTGAGTCCAGTCGAAATGTACATAACACTTAGAAAAAACAAAAGAAAGATGCGAAAGTTTTCCCAACCATCTGGAATAAGGCTGCTGATTAAATAAACATTAACTCTTTTTCTCCGAGGGGGGGGGGTAAACCCACTATGCTGGGGGCCTTTTTTGTCACTAAATCTAAAAAATGACGAAAACATCACTAAATGGGTCATTAAATTGAAACTAGCGAACCTATTATGATAGTTCTTCATCTAACGAATGAACTTCCGGTAAAAAAAATCTGCCGAAAAGTAATTTGATGTCGAAGTTGTCGTAAGGGATTGTGCCTGAGCCGTTTAGCGGCTCACCGTCACAGTAGTTCCGACCGCGAGCCGCTGGAAGCAGCTTGCCGGAGATATAGAATTAATCTGTATTGTTGTTGATCTTTTTAGCACATCTTTGAATATATCTATACCCCTAAAAGTCAGTGATAGATTAATTCCTGCATTTGGTTGAAAGATGCAGCTGATGTGAAATGTGTTATTGTCTGTACTATTTTTCTCTTCATATTGAATTTTCATCAAAGTAATAATAATTTAAATTCTATGTACATCTCACACCTGCCAACCCTACTGAAAAAATCGGTAGATCACCGACTTTTGGGTCAAACTACCGATCCACCGATTTTGAGATGAAGCCACCGACTTCGGGATTGAGCAGGGGGGTGACTGTCAGGCCCCGGGAATTTGAGAAAGTTATCAAACATTTGAAAACCAAATCCGATAACGCCCGAAAGTTCATTTTTGCCGGTCGCGATTGTGATTCATTCGGCTCCCTCGAGAGTATGTTTCTTCACGCAGACAGGCGGCTATGGTGGCAAGCGGGTGTGATACCGACATTTGATCGGGATAATCAAGATATACTTTCACTTTCGTTACCACCCAGAAATTTGCTGGTAGTAGTTTGATAACGCAACATTAATTGTAACAACATGCAGGCTGTGCTTGGCAAACGCTGTGTCGCCTTGAAAATAAATCAATATTTGTGCTGTGCTGTCACTTGTGAAAAAGAAAAGAAAGTTATACTTATAATACAATCGTCTTGTCGGGTTCGCCATTGTGACCGGTCAATGAACTTGCGCTTTCCATCACATTGTGAGCACGGGCACTTGTAGGGGTCACCAAAAGTTCATTCAAAGTCTGAGCGCTGCGTAGTATAGGACTCCGGAATGGGGGGAGGATTATTTTTTTTAAAGATACACTCGCGGGAGGGGGAGGGTGGGTGGTGTGAAGGCAACACCAGGGGACACAAACTGAACTTGGAAGCAAAATTTAGTATTCTAAATTTTTGATTACCTCTAGATCTAGATCTAGAAAACTCTCTGCAAAACGTGTGTTGGTGCAGGCCTTGTGTGGACTCAGGATCCGTCATACTCTTTCCTTGTAAACTCTGCAAAGACAAAAGGCCAAGGCTAGGCCTAAGTCATCCAAGGCCCACCTTTTCTTCATCTTTGCTTCTGTTTTTGTTTTTTGTTTGTTTTTTGTTTTCTGTTTTTGTTTTTTGTTGGGGGGGGGGGGTTGTGGTTTTTTGGTTCATTTGTGTGTGTGTTCGTGCAGGTATGAATAGGACAGGAACTGCACCAACTACTAATAGGGTAAATGCCTCTGGTAGTTTTCATATTTTGTCATTTTTTCTTTGTCATTTTCTACATTTGAAGTCGCAAACACAATCATGCATATTTGATGTGGGTCGAAATAAAATATTAATAAGGGTCCCAAATTAAGTATGCGACAAGAGGTAATATAGCCTACTACAGATTTTTTAGGTCAACTACAGATTTTTGGACAAAAATTTGGGTCCAACTACAGATTTTGGCCCAGGCAATGTTGGCAGGTATGACATCTACATGTGTTTTTACCATTCCTATAAAAGTCAAGAAAAATTTGTCCAAGGTGGCCACTCACTGTTGAGGAGAAAAGTGGTTGTAATAGACATAGACAGATGGCCATTAGTAGTATTTAAAAAGTATCAGGGGAAACATGAGAAGTGGCCATTTGTACTAGTGAATGTTTTAGACAGGTGGCTGTTAGAGAAAATTTGATTTCACTTGTGTCACAGTGCTGTTTTAAGGGAAGATTACAGAGACAACCAAATTTTGTTATGTGTGTCCGAAATACAGTTTTGAGTAGTTTCCTGTAAATAAAAGGGATTGACTAATATATTCTGATGGGGATCTCAGGTCTGCAAACTGGTGTAGTCCTGTAAATCAAATTACATACTTACCTTCAGCACAATATTGTTAAAAATTGCTGCAATTGTTAGTAATAACATTTATTAATTAATGTGAGAAGGATTTTGTGTATTCTTATTAGGCTAGTAAAATGGTGTTCCATTTCCAAAAAATATTTTTTGTTTAAACGTTTCATAAGCAGGTTGTTTGTTCTACAGACAAATCCCTCTGAAATTTGGAACCCTTAACATTTACAAATAACCATGGGAACTTCCTTAGAGATTGAAAAGACAGATCGTTAGAATCATCTGTATTGTAACCCCACCCCAAAAATTTTTTAACTTTTTGAGAAAATCGAAGAAAACATCTCTAGGGATTTTCTGGATGCAACTGATGGTCTGAACAAGTTGTCATGCGAAAATTTTGCATCAGGGTTGAGAAAATGGAAGACTTTTAGCTTGTTCAGACCTTATTAATTTTTTCAGCTTTTTAAACGAAACTTTGTTGATGCTTGTAGGATAGTAGCCTATTCTCAGATGATCAGATGGGAATGACTTGTTTTCTGCATTATTTCCAGTGGAGCATAAACAATATGAGCGTGCAGCTTCCCTGGCAGAGAAGTTTGAGGATTTTGAAATGCTGATGAAAATTTGTGACGTGACGGACAACCAGGAGCGGCTACAGAGGTATCGCAGGCAGTTCGCTGACAGGGTAGGCCTCAGTTTGTTCCTCCACATGGCTCTGGTATAAAATGTTACCTATAGATAGGTTTACTATCATAATCCATCTGATCATTTGTGTTACGAAATTTTCATAAAGCTGTTGGTTGTGCTGAAGAAGGTCAACAGTTATGGTAACTCAGTAGCTTGCAGTCTCTTGAAAAGCAGCGTATATCATTATAGTCTAGCACGCACCAAGCAAAATCGGTGGTGCTCAGAAGTCTGTTTTATACAGTCGAATCTGCCTTAACGGAAACCTGTATAAAACGGAAACCTGTCTTAACGGAATTTCCCCGCTCCCCTCTTGATATATTCCTCTTTAATTACCTGTATAAAACGGAAACCTGTTCGACGCGGAAACGGAAAGAAAAATCCGCTCCCTTCCGAGGATTTCACCTGTGTAAGACGAAAAATGCTTTGCCCGCTCAGCCCCGATTTGAAACAAAACTCGCAAGTTTAGTTCCGCTGGCTCTAAACTAACGCTATGGCCATGCCGCTGGGCGAAGAAGGGGAGTAGGGGTGCAATTAGGGGGTAGATGTTACCCCATCATGTGAGCCCTGAGCGATGCAGATGGTCAGTGTAGTGTGGGTGTGAAATCTCACGACTGCCCGTGAGAGTGCTCGAGTAGCGAGCCTCTACGGAAACTTTCCTTGGTCCAGAAGCCAGAGGTGTGAAATTAGATTGACCAACTTTGTTGTTAGCATGTTACTAATTTTTTATCGTGATATTGAAGTTTTGAGAATAAGTTTGGGTTTGTATTTCAGTCCAGAAGCTACTCTTTGTCTTCTTTGTCTTGCTCTGTGTCATTCCCGACTGTGCTTTTGCCTCTTTCTGCTCACTTTTTGTCTTCCATTGGTACATGTTCAAGGCTCTCTTTGTTTTCTTTTCTCCAGGGCTTTTGTCAGTTTGTTTTCAACTGGTACATGCGGGAAGGTAAGCAGTTCTGCAATTTTTCATGTGTTGTTTCAATTTCAATTTACCATTCTGTTAAAAGTAACAAAAGTGAAATATGTAATATTAATAATTATTTACTCAGTGTCAAATGTCAGGGACTTGAATAGTGTGTTTGGAAGTTTATAAACAGATATTGGGTCTTCTGATTTCCTCTATTTTATACTACTTGCAAATGACATAGTTGACAGTGGTTTCTCTGCTCTCAACATAAACACTTTTTTTCTTGGTCCCTCTTTAAATAGTAAGTGGCATATTAAGGAAAAAAGTTATGTGGAAAAGTTTGATAGTCAAGAATTGAGAGGACATTCTTATCTGAAACTGTGATAATGAACAGGATAGTGAGTTTTTGTGAAAAAAAAGGCTTTGACAAAAGAAAGACTGGTGTATCCGTACAGGTCTTGTGTAGGTAAGAATTGAGTGAGATGTTTTTTGTTTGCATTTGGTAGGTAGTGGTCTGTTCTCTTCTTCTCACGGAGTCTAGTGCTTTTTTTGAGTTAGAAACAGTAAAAATATGCTGAGTAAAACAAAAGATTTGCAAATGTTTTATTCATATGTTTGTCAGGGAAGCGAGGTCGCCTGCTGACAGAGCGAATGGGTGAGGGTGAGGAGCTCAGCGACTTCCTCAATGCAGACAATGTGCGTTATCTCAGCTGGCTGCACGAGGTTGGCAGAGGAAACTTTTTGGCTGTAAGTTTGTCTGATCGACTTCATTTATGCACGTTTGTCAACTGTCAAGAATTTCCTGGGACTCGTCTGGATTTGGCTATCAGGGATTTGAGAGCTGTAATCTTCTGCACTAATTAGATTTTATCGTGCTGCAAGTGCCGTAAAATACTTACTATAACAAACAGTCCCACTGGGAAGTATTTTTCTTTGTGTCTCCATCTGTCTGCTGAGATGCAGCGTCCCTTGTAGCTCAGGTTGGCCCTTACAGCAGGTTCCTAACAGCCCGCTTCCTAAATTATCAAAATTGTTTGTTGTTGTTGTAGTAGAGGTTTTACGGCGCTCGCAACTGCATAAGGTCATATGAGCACCAGAAGATTAGAGGTGTAACAAGAGAGTAACAAACATAAAAAAGAAGGAGGGGAGATAAGGACGATATACATTTGATAGGAATGAAGAAGCAAGAAGGAGCAAACCACACCAGAGCACAATAGAACAAACAAACAAACACTACAATAGACAAACACAAACAAGCCCAACACCACAAAGAGAAACACAAACAAAAAAACAAACACGCACACACACACATCACAACAGACTCACTTGTAAACAAACACACACACCAGGACAGACAGAGACAAGTAGAAAAAGAGCTGCGAGACATTTGTTGACACCGGACAGAAACAACAACAACGTTTGAGTGAGTCAACGAGTCAGTGATGAGCAATTTGAAAGACGGACGTCCCACACATGCTCTCTGTCAGCCTTCTTTTAGTTTAAGTTTTAGTAGAGGTTTTACGGCGCTCCCAACTGCATAAAGTCATATGAGCGCCAGAAGATTTGAGGTGTCACAAGGACGATAGATGTTTGATAGGAAAGACGAAGCAAACTACACCAGAGCACCCGCCAAGCACCCACATCAAAATTGTGTCTTTGGGAGTACGAAACATCCCATTTAAAGAAACAACTGTACTTATAGTATTTTGATAACCTTCATGGGGTACTAACAATGTAAGCATTGGTTTTTAAGTATCAGCATGCTTGCGCTCATGTGTCTGTGATGTAATTATATTCACAATAACCTTGCATTTAAAAGACATGAGTTTGATTCCTGTAAGGGAAGATATTTTATCGAATGCCTTCATCTTTCTGCTTGTATGTATCTTCTTGACAAAACTTGATGGTGCACTTATCTGCAGTAATGTTGCCTGTGGTGACATGGCGATTTGTTTATTATTACAGTAATGTAACTCCAAAAGAAAATTACTGGACAACTCGTAGCATTTTGGTTAAAGAGTATGTACAGCATCCTTCTTATAATGTCTTGTTCTGTTTCAGGCCCACAATGCACTATCCAGTTTGGCTGGCTCAGAAAGAAACTTTCTGTCCAAGAAAAAGGTTGGTAGTTTTAGAATTAAAGATGCAACCAGAGATGCCAACCAGCACGATTTACATATTTTAGTACGATTTTTTGTCGAAAATACGCGAGTACGACTTTTATTGAAAGAATACGCATCCTGGAATGCGAAAAATACGTGATTCAGCTTGGGTGAGTAAACCTGATTATCTCAAGTCCCATCTTTTGTCAAAATAGTATCAGTATTGCAGAACTAGAATATTTGAAAACCAAGTTCGATAAGGTCAGCAAGTTCATTTTTGCCGGTCGCGATCGTGATATTATATTCGTTCTGCTTTTCCCGGTCTGGAGTTTCACTTTCACGCGAATAGGCAGCTATGGCAGCAGGCGGAAGCGTATGTGACACCGAGGCTCGATCGGGAAAATCAAGATCTACTTTCGCTTTCGTTACCACCGAGTAGTTTGCTAGCCGTTGTCTGATAACGCAATATTTGTGACATGCAGGTTGTGCAGTATAAACGCAATGTCGGCGTGCAAATAAAATTTAATCAATGCTCGGACTCGCCTCTGTGCTGTCACTTGTGGAAAAAAAAGAAAAGAAAATACAAGGGTTGTCCGGTTTTTAGATTGTCTGGCTCGCCATTGTGACCGGTCACTGAACCTGCGCGCATTCCCGTCATAAATAAATGCGGCATCGTGTGAGCAAAGACCGTCTTTGGTGGGAGTAACGGCCTTGCGAAGTATAGGACTACGGAATAGGGGAGGAGATAATTGATTTTTGGGGGGTTTAAGATAATGTGGGGGAGGGTGTGAAGGCAACACCAGAGGACAAAAACTTGGAAGCACATTTCAGAATTTTGATTAGAGCTTTCTGCAAAGCACGCGTTGGTGCAGGCCGTGTGCGGAATTGGGACCCTTCATACGTTGCAAGTCTGTGTTATTGAAATAATGTGTTCGCGTTTCATTGGATGGGTGATAGTAAATTATACCTACAGTGTATGTTGTAGCTTTCTGTTCAAGACTGGTAGATTTTCAGTGTCACTGCATCTTGCCCTACCACAGTTGTTACAACTCTCACAGTGCATTCAAGTTATCGCTTTTCTCTGAGTTTGAGCAATAATTTGAGTCTGTCAGTTCATAATATGAATCATGACACCCAGACTGGTTCTTGATATACTAAATTTTTGTTCTAAGCCCTTCTGAACTCTCAAAGCAGGTTTTATTTTTTATACAATAATAATAATGAGAGGAAAATATTACCAGTATAGTAGACTGAAATATTTAAGTCAGACAAGACCCCAGTATGACACTGAACACTGAAATGTTGTTGACTGGATACATGTATATTGTACGCGTGTGTGTGCTCCGTTTTTCGAGCTGGTGAGCTAGTAATTTTTTTTCAGGAAATATTGCTGGACACCCTGAACATTTTACTATGACTAGTTGGTGGGTCGGTCGGTCATGGGGAATACACATTTTCCCCTGAAAATACACATTTTCATATTTCCCAATACTCATTTCGGTTTTCTGTGGTTGGCATCTCTGTGCAACTGTGCTCTGGAACCCTTGGAAGAATGAGCTTTGTTATAGACATGAATTTTTTAAGGCTTTATAAGTTCAAGTACAGTGGATTTTCAGAATGCCTGAAACGAGAATTTGTGGCCCACCAAGTAAAGGAAACTTTCTCTATGACTGCAGAGTCTTTGCTTCGTCTTTGAAAGTCTCTTTACTTTTTTTTTCCTGTCTCTATTATTGTTGATTAATCTTCTTCTCAGTAACTGTGCTGATTTGATGTGTTTGTTCTTGACTTTTGGATGATTAATGGGTTCCCGTTGTAGGTTCATTTTAACGTTTCTTTTTCTTTTTTTCTTGGGGGGTCCAGTGTCTCCCTTTTTTAAAGGTGCCAAGTGTTATCGTTGAGTTTTAGAAAAATGTGCCTCATAGTGTTAGTCGTACCAAACATTACTGGGAGTTTTCTTTCCCTTATATGTGTCAGAAATGAAAGACAGAACAACACTGGTAGGTTTTACTTCTGCACTTTTCCTGTTTTATGTCTGTCCTTCTTACTTTTTCTCAGCTGACCGTTATTGTATCGATATGTCTATTTTTACTCAAACTCAAAGTTCTTAAAAGAGAATGCAACTTTCAAAAATTAAGCATAGTAAGGTAAGCTCTTTCCCGTCTGTTCTCTTGACATACTCTTCTAACATTTTTTTCCTTTTTCTGTAGACTTTGCTGAGCCTGAGTAAGCTGGCTGGCCTGGCTGCTGAGAATGCTGAGGAGAGTATACAGGACACCATAGAGGGTAAGCTTGCCACGAGCACTCCCTGTGCAGGGAGAGGCCCTTCTTAGGAACCCTCGGATGGGGTGGGGGGAGGGGGGGCAGGGCTTGTATAGGGATAAGGCAGTTTGTGACTGGTGCATGTGTGAGAGAGTGAGACAGAACTGTATTATTTCATCGTGTAAGATAGTGACAATGTATAATTCCCTTGTGTTTTTTTGTATTTTTGTTGTTGTAAGTGTTTTATGGTGATTGCAACTGCGTAAGGTCATATGAACGTAAGGGACACATTAAGCAGTTACAGTTGGTAGGAAATTTTGAATTTTGCATGGGTGGCGGCCAAAGTTGACTCTTATCAATTTTTGACCACCAAGGGATCTTTAATGTGCGGAACTTGCACAGGGGACCTCTGAGATTTTTCGGCCTTGTCCGAGAAGGCTGGGTGTAGATCTTTCTTACCTTAAGATCAGGCATGTGGCTGAAAGACAGCAATAAGAAGGAGCCAAGGAGTAGCAGTAGAAAGGCTGCAGAAAGAGTCAGAAGCCAAGAGGAGGGGGCCTTGTGTATATACAGGGTGATCAAAAAAACAACTTTACAACTTGTTTTGTAGATATTGTCCTCCATACTGAAGTTTTGCGTTTCAGATTTGAACATAGCATTTGGAAGCCAAAAGGGATTTTTCTGATATGTATTTTAGATAAGTCCATTGAATGGTTTTGCTCTATATAGTGGATTTAAAAAACAGCCCATTTTCAACCTTGTCACCATTTTCATAGCATGACGCACCAGTTCGCATTAGGCCTACCACTAAAAGTTGCAACAATCGCGCCATATTGCAAGCTACAGCAGTCTAACAAGTCAACAGAAGTCTGCAGATATTTTTTTCCACAACTTTTGTTTGCCTGCTTAGACCATGGTTACGTTTAGTAAAGAGCAGAGAGCTTTTTGTATTGAACATTACCTCTCCACAAACTCACCATCCCTGACATTTCGTAAGTTCTGCGCCCGGCATGGAGAGAATGCTTAGGTGCCCTCAAGACCAATGGAATCATGAAAAGATAAGTTCCGTCAGTTTGGATCTATAGCGAATCAGAACTAAAAAATTCTTTTAAAAATTGCCACTTCAGGTCGAACATACACCATGCGCAGCCCTTTAAACGTCACCAGAGTGCAGACTTCAGTAGTCGAGTCCCATGAGACGTCTGTTCGTGGATAATCTGCGGCTAGGACTTTCCTACACCTCAACAGTCTGCATTCTCATGGCAGATCTTAACCTATGACTAGATTCTATACCATGTTCATCTTCGCTAGGCCGAGATAACATGGATCAGAGCATGGCAATGTGTTCATGATTCCTTGATTGTCTTGTAAAGAGGGATCATTTCCTCGATGACATTTGACAATGACAATCTTATTCATTTCGCAGGGAGAAATTTGTCTTGGTCGTTAACAATGGCAGTAGACGTTACAAAAGTTAGACTTAACGGTGCACTCACGCAAACGCACAATAAGACACGACATTAGGCCAAGTAAATACATGTCTCACGGGCTGGGACAACCCGCTCCGTAAAACATTCTCTCTCTCTCTCTCTCTCTCTCTCTCTCTCTCTCTCTCTCTCTCCCTCCCTCCCTCCCTCCCTCCCTCCCTCCCTCCCTCTCTCTCTCTCTCTCTCTCTCTCTCTCTCTGTGTGTGTGTGTGTGTTTCATTTGTAGCACTGTGTGTTCAGTAACCTCACTGCAGTTGGTACGAATGAATTTCTATATCTGTTTGTTCTTGGTTTAGGGCCCCCCACTCTATTGTCTCTAGAAGCCACTTCTTAGTGAACATATACAGTGTATGTGGCTTTAAAAACTCATGGTTTAGCAGGTCCTTGTGTTAGGCCGCCACTGAATATTTCAAAATGTGTCGAAAGGAAGTAATGTGGAGCACTGCTTCTAGGAATTTCAGAATGAAATCATTAGGTTTTTTAAGCTCTGTAAAAGAAATTAAATACTGTGTAAATGTCACAGGGATGGAAAATTAATGTCAAAAAGAAAATAAAGAAAAAGGTCAACAAATCTTTTCACGACTTCCTTTACAAGATTTTTAAACATTGGTGAAATTTGCGTTTTTGGGTGCTTTTTTTCTTTTAGCCGTTTTCGTTTTCAAAGCAGGTTTTTTCTTAGTGGATTTTATATCAAACAAATTCCTTTTGAATGAATTATATCTGTTCCAAATTACAGCATTCTAGAACAATTTTTGCGCAAGGTATTTAGAAAAAAAGTTGTAAAGTTTTTTTGGGATCACCCTGTATGTATGTGTCAGTGTATGCGTGTGAAAAGAGAGGGGGGGGGGAGTAGTTTTCTTTTTTATGATATAAAGTAGTGCCAGTGTATGTCCAGATGGGGATGTGTTGTGAAAGTATAAATGTGAAGTAGACATTTACAGAGGAGGTTGTGGTGTTGCAAAGGTATGTGTAGTATATCCCACTAGATCTCACTCTGCCAGGATTCCATGGTCTAGATTCTGAAGTGTCTTGCACTGTCAAGATTTTGCATTGTCTGCAACTTTCCAAATCCTGCATTTTCTAGTACTTTCTACTTCTAGCTCTCTGTCAAGATTCTACACAACTTTCATGTAGTTGACCCTTTCTTTCCTATCAAACATTTAAATTTATGTTCCTTACCTCTCTTTCTTTTCTTTGTATGTTTCTCTCTTGTAACACCTATTGTCTTTGGCACTTTTATTTGACCTACTATATTTGTATTGCAAGTGCCATAAAACTCTTTTTGAAACTTAAACTATACCCTCCTCTTGACACAGCCATCAACGAAGAGCTGGACTTGGTGCTTCATCAGGAACAGTTGCCAAGTAAAACTGTTGAGGTAAATATGTGTAACTGTCTCTTTTCTTTGAAGTAAAGACCTGTTATTGTCTGATATAACAACATGCTGCAGTGTGTTTCTTTGATGTAATAACCAACATCTATTGTCAGTAATGTCAGTGTGTCAGTGAGGGAAATGCATGTTGTCAGTGTTCTTGTGGCAATGACGTCGAGTTAGTTGTCAGTGTCATTCAGGTACTTACATGATGTCTTTGTCATTGTGTCATTTTGGAATTACTGTCATACATGCAGTTGCAGACTTGCCACTCATCCCGATTTAGTCGGGATATCCCGCCTTTTTTCCCCAAATCTCAAGCATACTGATTTTCCCGATTTGAATTGGGTGTATCCAGATTTTTTGTCCCCGTCTGTTGTTGTGCCGGATTTTTCTAAATACTTACTCTGCCTTCTTTATCGCGGGAAGCACCCGTTGAACTTTTTGTCAGTAGGAATTCAGAGCACTATTTCCCGAAATCTCTATGCCGGATTTAGTAGTTGACTCCCCCCAAGTTGCGTTTGATCTTTGCCCGCACTCAGAATTCTCCGAAGGTAGCCTGGTAACTGTTACAATTTGAGACATACAAATAATGGATGGTATTCGTAGTTCCGCTGTTACTCTCAAAACAAGCGTTGTCCTAGGTCTGGTAACTGCGCGTTCACAACAAACACTCAAGATGAGCAACAGTCTTTCTAACCCTTACACAACAAACATGTAACTGCGCTGACAAGACTAACATGCGATACGGCCATTGTCGTTGCTTTAGTCTGAACGCATTATGATTATGAGTGATAAGAGATTTGTTGGTACATTTGGTCGGTTGGCTGCCGTCGTTATCCTAGAAGTAGAATGGCTGTCGCCCATCCGAGTGTTTGGTTTGAACGTGCAGTTAGTCGGACCCGTCAGTAAAATTGTTTCAATCGTGCATTCACATCACGTGACACGAATTCGGCGTGTGAGTTCTGCGTTACGGAGACCGTCCGTTGACGGGGTCAACTTAAGTTCATGTATTTCGGGACTTATTGGTGGGGGGGTGTTAGACACTTGGACTAGGAGTGCTTGACGTGAATCTTCATGATTTACAAAAAATAATGATAACATGCATGTACGCACTCACACACGCACGCAAGCAAACAAAGACACACAGAGGGCATGGGCCTAGTAATTTATGGACACCCCTGGAAAATTTTTCAGTCAGCTTTACAGTCACCTTGGTGATTTGCTGTTGATCCCGATTTTTTTTCACCAAATCCCGATTTTTTCCCCATGAGATCTTGATTTTGAGGTTTCATAGAGAGGCAGGTCTGCAGTTGTTTTTCTGTTAAAGTGAACCATTGTGATAATACAATTCTGTGCCTCTGCACTGTGGTCTTAACACACAGCTGTGATAGAATGTGAAAGTGTGCAGGTGTGGCAGTGTGCTGATATATGTTCTTGTACTTATTTGTTAGTGTTAGTTCATGAAAGTATGCAGATATAAAAGTAATAATGTGTGATAGTGTTTAATTTAAATCAGTGATTTTGTACCGATGTAATTGAATGTGGCAGTATTCAAATGTGATAGAGCTCAATTGTGAGTCTATGGGGTCGTTGGTACATGGTATTTTGTTGTTGTGATAGTAAGTCACTATTGTAACAGACATCTGTGGGGGCTCTTGTGGCCTGGAGGTTAAGGTGTTCGCCTCTCATTCAGAGGTCCCGGGTTTGAATCCCGGTAGCGATGGAAACATTTTATTCTCTAAAATTGTCTCCATTCACCTTCTTTCCTTCTCTCTTGCAATATTCTGTCGTCTGCTTTCGTCTCCACTTTCTTCCCCCACCCTCTCACCTCCTTTGCCCCCTCCACTGGGCCCCTGACTCTTTCTGCAGCCTTTCTACTGTTTCTTACTGCTGTCTTTCAGCCACACCCCTGATCTTCTGGTAGGAAAGATCTACTCCTAGCCTTCTTGGACAAGGGCGAAAAATCTCGGAGGTCCTGTGTGCAAGTTGTGCACGTTAAAGATCCCTTGGTGGTCTAAAATCGATAAGAGTAGGCTTTGGCTGCCACCCGTGCAAAATTCAAAATTTCCTACCAATTGAAATGTTTGGTGTGTCCGTGCGCTCATATGACCTTTTGCAGTTGCGGGCGCTGTAAAACACTTACCCCCCCAAAAAAAAATAAAGACATCTGTGATTCCTTTTGGTAATTTTGATGTACATAAAACAAATCGTTTTCAGATATCTTAAGATATGAGGAGTACAACTATTTTTTAGAACTTAATTATGTTTTTTGAGTGTTAGTTTGAGATCAGCTATGTCAAAATGTAAGAGTCATTATGTATATATCAATGTAGTAACATGTGTTGGTTTATTTAGTTTATAACATAATGGCTGTCAAATCATAGAGACAGACTCACTTTTTAAAAATGTTACAGCGGATTTTAGTAATTTGTTTCAAATAAAGGATGTTGTCTTGCTTAAGCTCTCAGTGTTCTGTATTGCCACTTTTCAGAATGTTGGTATGGACCCTGAAAACATGAGAGTCTTGTCTCCTGAGGAGCTGATTAAGGTTAGTTAGACCCAGTGATATTGCTAGTTTGTTGTGTGTTTGTTCTACAAAGTGCTCTGATGAGACCCATTGCTTTTGCTGGTTTTTCACTTTGTTTCCTCTTCTTCTCTATGTTCTTAGAAAACTCAGTGCGCCCCCGGGGCGATACCACTGACTGAAGTGTCTTTAGGCCATTCCCAAAGGGGGGACATCTCTCGTTCTAATGCACAGTAGAATTGTAAATGGGCTGATCCAACAATGTCATGCTCATAACTGTGCCTGAACTACAGCAGGGAACTGCTGCTTTTTCTTTCCTAATCCTTATTATCGTCATTTTCCTCTACTTCTTTTGTATGTTTGTCACACTCTTGTGACCCGCTATTTCCGGGGTGCCTTGATAGTCGAAGCAGACTTTGTGCTGTTGAAGCTAGAGAGGCAGGTGAGGAGAGTAAGTCTGATTCCCTGTAAGGACTTCTCTGTTGACATCCACCCCTTGGCGCTCATATGACCTTATGCAGTTGCGAAGTCCAAAAAACCTCTTCTGAAACCAGTGCTTCCACTCTTCCGTATTTTTACGGAAATCCGTACTTTCTGCCAGTTCCGTACTTGTTCCTCCATCATATAATAATAATAATTGCATTTATATAGCACATATCCATGCTCAAGAGCATGCTCTATGCGCTTTACAACTATCATTACCCCTCTGCTCTGAGAACACTCAGAAACATTCTCAGCTTCCGAGGAAGCATACAGTGCAAGCTGCGAATTTCACGCGCTCAAACACTATCAAACTGACAAGATCTTTCACTGTCTATAGCCGGGTGCCCATTTCCACTTGGGTGAAGTGAGGAAAATTTGTGCAAAGTGCCTTTCCCAAGGACACAACGTCGGGCCCATGACGGGATTCGAACCCACGACCTTATGGTTGCGAGCCCGAGAGCCTAACCACTAGGCCACCGACGCCACTTAAATAATAATCATTATCTGCTCCCTCCGTAAAAAGCTGCGACAGCGTAAGACTACCAAAATGCCGTAGCAAAAGATACGTACTCACCTTCGTATCGTCTAGTACTAGTATAAGTTACAGATATTTACGGTAATTCTCTCGGCAATAAGTTAATATTGTAGAAATCTGCCAGATTGCGCATTTCCTGCAATCGGCCATTATTCCGCTATGCCCCATGCATTAATTGCGGGTTGGTCGGTAGTACATTTTTACCTGTGGATTGATCAAAATCTGTCAAACTTTTTGTGCCAATTTCTTTCTTTCTATCATTTACTCATTCTGTCTATCTTCGGATTGTTGCCGCAGCTGGAAAATTTGTGCGTTGATGAAGTAAATTGACTTGTGATCTTAGACAGAAAATTACTGTTAGAGAGAAACTTTTTAACAAATTTGTTAAGTAATGATCAATACGAAGATGCTACGGCACGGGCACGTGATAAGGGCCGCGATGAAAGAAATTTAGGCTAAAACCAGCCTAGAACTACTAAAATCAAAAATAATTCGAAGTGGTGTTCTGAGGTTGTGACATGCGACATTCAGACGTGAAATTTAAGGATAATTACGGACGCCAGGTAACTGTATTGTGAAGGTACATATACTGACGAGCAAAAGAAAGTGGGCACCCTATGTTCTGTGCATTATTTCCGTTCTTTTCCGTAGAAATGCCGTATTGCCAATGAATTCTGAAAGGTTTGCCATTTTTTCAATAAATGCAGACAAAAAACGAAGAAAAACGATCAAAAGCACGCCTTTTATTAGAAATTAATAACACCGATTCAAATGTCCAAAATCCCAGAATTAGTAACGGGTGTAACTCCCACCAGCATTGATGACTAAAGTGCATCTCTGCTTCATGGATTGCACATGTCGTTGGATAAATTGCTGGGGAATATTATTCCAAGCATCAATTAATGATTGCTGCAGTTGTGGGATTGTCGTTGGGGGTGGCCGAAGGGTGCGAATTTCCTTGTCCATCGTGTCCCAGAGGTGCTCAATCACGTTTAAATTTAGGGATAATAATGGCAACCGTGTTATAACATGTATGTCATTTTTGTTGTAAGAATCTCTGGGTAACAAAGGCACGGTGTGCCGGTGCGTTGTCCTGCTGAAACCCGAGATTGTTCCTGTGGCGAGCCAGAAACGGCATAAGGTGTGGATACAGAACGTCATTGATGTATCTATGGGCAGTCAGATTACCGTCGATAATGACTAGATCGAATTTATCAGTACTGGTCATGGATTCCCATACCATAATGCTACGTTTGTCAGCAACAGCACGGACACACTGAGATAAATAACGTTCATGACGTCTCCGGTAGACTTTCTGCCTTCCATCGTGGCGATCCAACTCTGTTCCACTGGCGGTTTAGCCATCGCCAGTGCAGACGTGCCCAGTTGTGTCTGGCATGATGGTGTCTTTGGAGGAGACGAGTGCGTCAAGGTGGGTGTCGGGCAACGATTCCGTGGGCTTTCAAGCGTCGACGAACGGTGAAGCGGCTGATTGGTCTATACCCAGGCCAATCTCTGGCAGTTTTAGAAGCTGTTTGAAACCGATCCCGCAAGTGTGGAACTCTGATTCGATTGTCTTCAACAGCAGTAGTGACAGGAGGAAGTGTATCCTTATCTTTTGGATAGTATCTCTCGTCACATTGAAAGCTCTTGCGACAGCAGAAACCGTCGCATTGCTCTCAGCATGCCAAGAGCTTCTTGACGTTGCGCATCACTGAGACGAGGCATGGTATAAAACAAAATTGAAAGTACAAACCCAAAATTTTTGACGGCCTTTTCGCTTACACACGTTGAAGCGTGTAACGAAAAATGAATAAAAGTAAAGGTATTGTAAACTTTAAAGAAAAAACGAGAAAACACGTTTTTGGCCCAACGTATTGAAAACGCTTTTTTAATAACAACAAAATAAATAAACGTTATTTTGACCAACTTTTTGAAGTGACTCAGTTTTGAAAACTGCCCACTTTCTTTTGCTCGCCAGTATATTATTATCTATTCATTATTCCCAGGTTTGCCTTCTATTAATGGTGCGATGACAAATTAATTGAATTATAGTAGCAATGGAAGGGGAACCTGCTTTTAAACATTGCCATCAATGGAAATATATTATGTAGATCTTGGGGAAGAAATCAAGCAAGACAAAATGTTTGTGAAAAAATAAATCCCACCGGGACGCTGTCCCGGGACCCTGCTGGGGGCCTTTGCGGCCCCCAGACCCCCAGCAGAATGTTCCTTACTTTTCAGCTTCAGCTGGTGGAAGCACTGTAAAAAGAACAAAACAAACTCGGTGCTATTGCTAGTTTGCCTTTTTTTTCCAAGTGACATATCGCGTTTTTGTTGCATTTGACAACTTTCGTTGGTAGGCTGTGTATGAGTATTATTTATATGCAGTTTTACTGATTGATCATTTATTTGTTACATATGAAAAGTTTCCCCAATAGACTATGACTTTCTCTTTTGATTAGGTTTAATCTCATATTCTGTGCTGTAGTGATTTAAGCTCTCCACTGTTGCACACAGAAGACCTGAGCTTTCCCTTTTACTTTTAGGGAATCTTTTTAAAAATCAAATTTCTTCTTCTGCCTGCTGGGATGTTGTATTTCAATCGGCCTGTACTGTATTGGCAGGGTCGAAAGGGGTGTAAAACACTACAGTTATCTAGGATGTGTTTGGCTTGACAATTTATAATTTTGTGTGTGCAACTTTCCCCACAGCTTTATGTCAGTGAGAAGAATGAATTTGCCAATGAACTGGATGTGAAGAAGGCCCTGGATCTTCTGCGCTATGTGGATAAGGTATCTCAAGGAGTCTCTGTGTTAAAGTTCAAAGACTTATATTTCTTTCTTGTTTCTGGTAAAAATGTAATTAATTAGCTGTTAAAAGTGGACTTATGCTGGCATTTCAGTGCTTACAAACCCCAAATGTTTTTATTTGTTGCTATCATTGATTTGAAATTGAAACATGTTCAAGAAAATGCACTTAGACTTGGATTTAAGCACAGTACTACAACTGGTGCTCATATGACCTTATGCAGTTGCGAGCACCGTAAAAACTCTTTAAAAAAAACCCCACTGTACTACGAACCTCAATTGTTTTTATTTCTTATACTTGCCATCTTGGATTTGAAATTTAAAAATGTTTTTGAAGAGTGAGATTTGGTCTGGGATTTTAGAACTTTCAAGTCTCAGTTGTTTTTGTAAACTTATTGATAAAGATTTGAAGCTGAAAATGTTCAAGAAAATATAGTCGATTTTGTTGTATTTGTATCTCCATCAGAGTCATGGAATGAAGGAGAGTGAGGAGCTGAAACTACACATCTGGTGCAGGGCCATCCTAATGGACAGGTATTTACATGGTTCTTTGCTCGTGAAAGCTGAGTATGTATACACGCTGCTCTTTGATGTGACAAATGTTCTGTTAGAGCCTACTTTAGGTTTTATTTTTTTACATTTACTTTCTGTGATGAGTTTGAGAGGAGAATATCAGTTGGGCAGTTCAGCCTCTATATCGTTTTATCTGTCCCCGTAGAATTAGACAAATTTAGAAGGCCAAATTATGCACAAAAAAAGAAAAATTATGCAAAAATTATGCAAGTTACCGTAACACGATTCGCGACATGTTTTGCACTTTTTCAACACGAAGTTTCATGATTTTCATGTTTTATGTACAGAAAAATTGAAAACAGAACTCATCAGTATCTGTAATTTGTTGTGTATTTGGAAAAGATAACAATACACATCAGTAACAAAAAAACAAACAAAAAACCCCCAAAAATAATCATCTCTGTAACTTTCAGCTGTAGATCTAGATCTATAGAGGAAAGAAAAATGTTTCCAAAAAAAAAAAAAAAAAAATGACATCTGGACCTCTGATGCTGGCACATTACTAAAACCAGGGACACCTGTCAAACACAAAACATCAGCAGACATGAGAACAACAACTTTTGATGGATTGAAAAATTGAACATGCTCAAGGAACAAAATCACAGCCCATAACAAAGATCTTCTAACAATAAGGGAAATAACCAACTTTTCACTTAGATGAGAGTTATTACAGTGATTACGTCCCTTTAGTCACATGGCGAGGCGTAAATTCATTGTTTTGTGAAAAAAAGGGAAAAAACGTGACAAATACGCATATAATCCAAAATTATGCAATTGTTGCAGAATTACGCGAAAAAACGCGGCCGCACAATCGCATAATCCTACGGGGACAGTATTATGCTTGGCTTCTTTTCGTCTGTGCAAAGTGGTTGGGGAATAGTCCTGACCAAATAGCAGACCTGCCACTCATCCTGATTTAATCGGGATATCCTGATTTTTTCCCCCAAATCTCAAGCATCCCGATTTCGATCGCCAGTATCCTGATTTTTTGTCGTTGCGTCTGATTCTTCGAAAAAAATATATAAAGTTCTGCAATCTCTTTTGCTTGGAAGCACCGATTGGATTTTTTATCGGCAGGAACTTGGAACGCTACTTTCTAAAGCATCTATGCCGAATCTAGTAGATGACTCACGCACGTTGTTTTAACTAAAACCGACGTAGTATCGATTTTGAATTCCGCCATGGATACGCTCAGATCTACTTTCGCTTTTATAACCCAGAATTCTCCAATGGTGTCCTCATACCTGCCAACCCTACAGAAAAAATCGGTATATTACCGACTTTTTGGTCAAACTGCCGATCCACCGATTTTGAGATATAAGCCACCGACAAGTGCCCCCATGTCTGCTGTATTGTTGTAAAATTTCAGATCTTTGTGTGTAGTAGGCCTCCACTTTACGTACCAATTTAAAATTACCACCCATTCTTTGATAAAACACTAGAGCTGGAAACTAGATCAGGGACCCAACATGCGAGTTGCCGGCATGCAAGAGGCGAGTGATCGTAAGGCGGCATGTGATTGACTGCCTAAAACCAGAGGGTTTTACAGTAATTCAATGCTAAAACTGCTAGAACTAAGCAGGTTACCAATGATGTCATTGCGGGTTTTCCCGATACTGCTTTGCTAAGGTGTAGAGGGGTGATCGGCCACAGTTCAAGAAACGTCCCACTTCTTGGCAATATTTTCCTATAAAGTCCCCCAAAATTTTGAAACAAAAAATCCCAATAACTTTTTTAAATTTATAAATGGATTTTAAAAATTTAAAAACCACAATTCTTAGAATTCACTCTTCTTTCATTTAAGCTGGATAAAAATTTAATTTTTCATTGTCATTGCTAATTTTTATTTTTTGTTCTTTGTCAATTTCTACATTTGTTTGAAGTCGCAAACACACTCATGCAAATGTGGGTCAAAATATTGATAAGGTCCCCAATTAAGTATGCAGCAAGTGGTAATATAGCCTACTACAGATTTTTTAGGTCAACTACAGATTTTTGGACAAAAATTTGTGTCAACTACAGATTTTGGTCCAGGTAATGTTGGCAGGTATGTGTCCTGATTACTGTAACAATTATGACATAGGCCTAACAATAATCTATTCGTTGTTCTGCCGTTGCTTTAAAAGCAAGCTTCGTCTGAGTTCTGGTTAGTCGGGCCCATTCATCAAGACCTGTTAGTGGAACGCTCAAACGCTCATTCTCTTCACGTGACATGACCTCGTATGTTAGGGCTGTACCCCGGTAGCAAACACGCTCGTGCTCACAAGACCCTAGTTCAAGTCACAAGCCTCAAATCACTAGGTCAAATCATCAAATCAAATCACCAGCATGATATATTGAGTCTAGCCTCAGCTTCAAGTACCCACACCAACTTGCAATCCGCGAAGCCACTCGTGTCTGACCCCCTCTTCCTTCCCCTCCCTGCTTGCAATCCGCGAAACCACTAACGTCAGAAAGAGAGAGACAAAATAAATCAGTATTGTTAGCATCCCGTTGCTTGTAATTTAATCACTCGCCTAAACTACACTTCCACTCCCACCCTGACACTTAGAACAAGTTGAAGTTGAAGAGAAAGCATTGGGGAGGAGATGACAATCGTGATTTTGTCTCTGAACAATGTAAACAACTTTTGATTTGACTACTTCTCTATCAGAAGATCATTGTTAAGGTAAATTATATCACATTGTTAATTACATTGTAGGCCTATAACTTTTAAAAAAACATCTTGCTGCACTGTAACTGATATTATGTATGTATTGTGCATGTTCTATCATACAAATATTAATCATGATGTCGAATTACGCCCAGAAAATCAATAAAGCAAAACATAATCCTTCCCCCCACCCAAATTTTTTTTTTTAATCCACAAAAAACTGAACCAAAAAACCCCCCAAAAAAACAAGACAAATAAAACCCTGTCACACCAGGCGGCATAAGGGGAGGGGCGGGTTCTACGGAAAGCAAGGGGTGGCGAACACCTCTCGCTTTCCCAGCCATACCACCCCCTCCCCTCCCCAAACAGCGCCATTGCTGGAAGTGTGAGTGTTTTTTAGGGCTTGTCAGCGTATGGCACGCGGGCAGAAGTATCGCGCGCTCAGTAAACAAGAGTTTGTGACGTCACGGCACAAATCAGTAAGGCCGTCCGCCGTCCACGAGTAGCAACTCCGGTAGCGGGCAAGACTCAAGCCCGCTCGCAAGCCTCTGGCACAAGCCGTCCGTCGCTCGCAAGCCTTGGATTAATCGAGCAGGCTCCAGCCCTATCGTATGTGTGAGTAGTAGTAGTGAGTAGCGCGTGTGTCGGGGACCGTCGGCTGTCGGGGTCAACAAGGTTCATTCACACCAGTCGCAATGGTCAAGGTGTTTTTCGGCACTTAACCAGTGTGGAC